CTCTCTCTCTCTCTCTCTCTCTCTCTCTCTCTCTCTCTCTCTCTCTCTCTCTCTCGAACCTTTATGAATACTAGTCGCACCATGCCATTAGAAAGAGGTTGTACTGAAAGTCGTGGAGATAATCAGGATCCTCCAAGTTCAACTTTTCCATCATCATAGCGTCATAGCGAGCATCAAAAGAAAAAAAAAATCCTACGCAAATGTCCCCATCCTTACAGATTTGTGCATAGACTTTGTCTACTTACGATCGTGTCTCCGTTCGCATCTTTATACCACATGTCGTCTCCGCTGGAGTTTCCGTACGACACGCTGTATGACGTCACCCAGTCGTTAGCTGTAGGTGACTGTCGTCCCTGGGTCCTGATGACGCCGACTGTTGACCTTTGGCCAAGGTCAAACATCAGCCACTGATTGACGTTATTTTCGCCGGCTAACCACGCTCCGGCAAGCGAACCGGGAACTTCCTTGAAGTTCAGACGCGCGTTGGTGGGTGCATGGACCACGGTCCCCGACTCAGATGACGCTGTAATGGTAGCTATTTAAACAAAAAAAGGCACAAAATGTTTAAAATTATACAAAGACTGTAGACCCCAGCGGTGTTACTAGTTAGGTACTTACTTTTGCTACTCATTCAATCGAAGCAGATGATTACATCTGCAATAGCCAACTAGACTTCCACAAACTCGTGCTTTTGCCAAATAATATTAAGATTTTGCAACTTACTACAGATAACTAATTTTTATTTCAGGAACTTTCTTTTGCCAATTTTTTTTATTCCCACGCTCGCATCAGTTTTGGGATTCCTAAAGGATGTCATCCATATAATAAAACCAATATGGCCTTACTTGGTGTGGTCGAACGCTACTGGTACCGCTGCTTTTAATTCTCGTTATGTAGACATTAACTATCTTCTGAATGAGAACTTTACCTATCCTCCCGGGCCTGTAGACAGAAAGACGATAAACACCGCCGCACATTTCTGCCGAGTTTCCGGGACATGGACTGTTACATTCAGAGTCAGGCCGTGCTGTTCCCATGTCGGCGAAGTTATTGTCAGTTCCACACCAGCACTCAATTCCTATTTGCATGCCTAAACAGAAACAGCTGTCATCATGGGGCATGCGATTACGACGAAAAATTTACGTAATATATATATATATATATATAAAGAGAGAGAGACAGACAGACATACAGACAGACAGACAGACGAAAATGCAAAATGAAAACGCCAGTTGTAGCAGAAGCCTGATCTGTAGAGCAAGAAAATATTACAGCTTCGACCCTCACATGCTGGACACTCCTAAAGCACATGTGGAATCCTTCAAGGGCAGCCTGCAGTACCAAGGACCTGTCCTGTGGAACTGTCTTGCTGCTGATCAGCGGAAACTGATCACGTCAACATCATCATTTAGAAAGAAAATCGGACTGTAGACTAGTGGAGAGGACTGAATTTGGAAAATGAACTAAATGTGCCTATAATGTGACTGTGTTGTATATGTACATGTTTGTAACGTTTTTGTATATTGTTGGGTTCAATTTGTATTTTTATGAAATTGTATGTTTTAATGTGTGCCCAGGGATACCTGAAAAGCAGATCAATGGATCTGAGGTATTCCCCGGTGAAATAAATAAACTTGAAACTTGAAACGTAGTTCGTTGCAATCATGCAGCATACGAGTGATATATGTGAACTATGTGTCTTACCGAAGTAGATATATCCGTTTTTCCTGCAGTGCATCCCGCAGGTCTTGACGCTATTGTCGTCGGTAAAATGGTTCCCTTCCCATGGGAGCACGCGGCTCACGTTATCCACAAAACATCCCATGTACTCCGCTAGGTCACAAAAGAAAAAAAAATACAAAATTGGCATTTCTAAAACCTGCAAATCAAATACGTGCAAATAGGCGTAATAGGCGCAATTTAAATACGCGTAATAGGAGGACAAAACCGTACCTAAAGCAATGTAACTCCTACCCATGTTTGATACTGTCTTGCCCATCTTGTAGCCACCAAAAGATTGGATACCATAGTAGGCCAAACTGCCTTAATTTTCTGGATGACATTTGCTAAAGACCCCCAAACTAGTGCGCGTGGGCAATTTTTAAAAATCCGGTCAAAAATTTAAAATGCTGCTTAGCCACAGAAATACAAAATTTAATCTTTTATTTAAGTTTCTGGTAGTACATAGCGACATTTAGGACAGGCTGGCACATGCTGGCCTTTTGCGGAATGTATGAATCGGCACTGTTCTGAGTTCTTGAGTTCCGTGGAGTTTTGCCAGCCTGGGTACCATGGTAGGACGTTATCTTTTTTTTTTCTTTGGAGAACAGGCGAAAATCAATGCGCGCGCGGATGTCATCAATAAAATTAAGTCAATGTGGCCTTAGAGATGAATACTACCTCCATGAATGGACTCCATGCAGAAGAGCAGGAGCCACAGGACCATCGCAGCGGTGAAGCGGCTGGACATGGTGCTTCTGATGACACTCCTACAGTTGAATGAACGAATGAATGAATGAGTGGATTATTATACAAATGCACATTGCAGCCATAAGCTGAATTACGTACTATTTACAATTGGGCGAAATGACAATACGTATGATGCCTTTAAAAGAGAAATATTGTAGAACATCATTAATATCACCCTTACGGAAAACGCAAATTAACTTGCACCTAAGTTGACTTAACCCTATCTAGTCTTACAGTGATACCCACTGGCTATCACATGCTCATGATTATGCATAATGGCTATAGTTATACAGTGAATAACCTGAGTGTGTTTTTGGAAGTGGACAGTAAGCTGTACTACTAACACTACTACTGTGAATGTAGCAGACGCATATATTACACGAAGTCCCTAGGGAGTTATTAACTGTCGTTGGCTTTATTTATCGCCTTAGTTATGTAACGACTTCTGCATGTATCTGTCGGATATCACAGTTATCAAATGGCCGATGGCGATCTCTGTGTTTGGTAAACAAACCGATGCTGTCATGGCAACATCGCACCACAGCAAATTCCTTCCCTAAGGCTGTCGGAGTTTAATTAAGATGTCAGGTATCAGTAGGTCATGCGTAGCACAATGGCGGCTGAACCGATGAAAGAACAAGGAAAGACACCAGGAGACCAAAAATGGAACTTTGTGTCTTTCTGAATACTACTAAATATTATTTGCTATCCGTCCATAGCTTCATAGGATCATTGAAACATCATCATTTGAATTATGAAATACGCCGTGCTATTGGTAGATTATGTAAATCGGGTGTTCTATGTCCTAATGCTTATTTGATTGCCGCACGTTGGGTGATTGTTGACAGAGGATTCAACATCAAGCCGCAGGCATCAGGATTAGTCAATCCCATATCCAAGAACCTGTATTTAGATTTGGATTAGGCCATGTTGATTACATTATATGGATGACACTAACAAGCCCTGGATATTACAGCTCACCATAGCGTTTGTATGAGCTTTGTCAAGTTTTTATTTATCTTAAAACATGCATGGAATTGTTTAGACAGTACAATAGCACATAGGGGTTTGCCTCATTTAGCGATATAAAAACAATTGCGACGAGTAATCACTGAAATAAACACCCCATTAAGACTTATAGAATAAATTCCCTAGAGGATTTATGATGAGGTCACATTTCCAAACCGGGGCCGAAAAATCAACAATTTATATCAAGAATATACGCAAATAGTTCCCATCATAAATTTTTTTTTCGATATTTTGTGCTTTGTTGTCGTCTTTCATATCATACTTTTCGTTCCACATGACTGCCCGGCCGGGCCCCGGTTTTGAAATGTGACCTCAGCACTAAATGTGGGAAATCTCGTACTAGATCAAACCACATACCGGTAATATCGAACGGAGTCCGAGGAATGAAGTTTAATATCTGCGCATCAATGGACAGAGTAAATCCTGGTGGTTAATAAGGATTAGCTGTGGATCAGAAGGCTCGTGTGGCGAGTATCTAAAGACAAACGCGATCTAGAACAGGGTTAGGACCCACAAACCGGTCCGTCCAGAATGTGGGGTGTGGTAATTAGTGCTTGTATCGTATCATCACCCCGTCATTAGTCTGCATTTAAATCTTAAGTCATGCCCGTAGCCAGGGGGTGGGGGCATGCGGCTAAAAGATCCACTTTTCATCTAAAGGTCCAAGATTTTTCCTTAGAAGATGGACTGATTTGTATCACCAGCGGGACTGGAATCATTAAAAAAACTGCTCACTTTGTCACTAAATGAAAAGTTATGTCTAATTTGTTTTTCTTTGAAATCCTCTCAAACGGTCAGGAAATGACAGGCATGTAATTGTTACGGTGGGTAAGTGCGAGATACTGAAAAGCGATTAAGACTAGCTAGAGCTAGTAAGATGTATAATGATAAGAACTGGACTCATTTGATCTGTTATGACTAACATCTGTCCCTGAGATGACAGGTAAGTTAGTTAAGTGGAAGTTAATGATCAGCCTAACACTAGTTAATTGTTTGTCTTAGATACCTTTGGTCAGTGGGAGGTAGCTAGAGTACATTATGTGCAGCATGATATGTAATATCAGGGCAGGTCATGTGTACATTCTGTCAAAGATTATCAAGACTGATAAACAACTTTTTCAAACAACTGCCCTGGTCATATACCCTGCAAACCACAGAGCAAAGTCAGTATATAGCTGCTCTGGTCCCAGAAAAAGAACACAACACAGTTGACCATCCAATCCATTTGTGAATGAATCATAAAAACGACAAGAAAGCTGTTAGATTGTAAAGTTGCATAGCATGTACAGTGCAAACTATACAGAGAGTCATGTCACAGCAGGTCAGAAATGGCGGGATACTAGGATAGTCGCACATGTTTCATGTAAGACATAAAAAAATTGGGGCGCGCAACCAAGGACGATCGATCGGGAAGTGAGCGCGGATAGCTCTGCGCGCCTGGATGCGCGCCCCGGCAATATGGTGATGTCTTACATGAAACATATGTCCGTATCAGGATTTTTATTACCAGGCTTTATGATAAGGTATTAGGCTGTGTTTACATGCCTACAGCTTAGTGTGTATGTATATTTGTAGGGTCATCTTATTATTAGCAAAGAGGTCTAAAGGTCTCCGCTAATAAGTAGTGGACCTTTGACCGTATGCATGCTTTATACTATCAAAATGACAACGATTGGTTAGTCCTGAATTCCGACAATAGGTGTGATTAACAAAATCCCTCGGTATTCGAAAAAAGGGCACTAAATCGTGACAAAGATCAGGACACCATTGTAAAAAATGCGCTGCGCGTACGAACCTTTAGAATTCTTTTGTCCAATGGCATATAAATTCTTTCATTTGTAGCCACAGACAAAAAACATGAAAAGCAAGGAAAATACAGGTAATCATGCAATGATAAGGGATGTAGCCCTTGTGTAATTAATAAAAAAGTCTGCTGATGATTATAAATACGCCATTGCCAAAGTAAATAATCATTATAACAGTATCTGGGACATACTAACCTTTGATCTGATCAATTATATACATAATGTAGCTGAGACGTTACATCTCATTATCATCTAGGATATGTGCAGGCTCAGCGTCACGATGAACGTAAACTGTTGGCTGTTAGGATTAGCTTTTGCCTGTCTTTGG